TTGACATATGACTATAACATTTTATTACCCAACCCTTGAGTTGTTTTGTTTTTCATTTACCCAACCTTTTACTTACTCAAAATTTAGTTTACCCAACCATTTTCTCTTCGGTGCCACCCCCCGCCATAAATAATGACCGGTCCCTAATTCAAATATTGTCTATTTGGACTTCTAGGATATATTATGCATGCAGTTGTATAGGATTTACATTAATTAGTGAACATCCGTGCACAAGTTCAGGCATGCTAATTGTTGAGCAGCGTGTTTTTGTTCTTTTTGCAAATTCTCACTTAATTGTTTTTGTTTGTGGAAACACCACGTAAATTTACATATTATTAGCACTGATGAAGATCCGGGCTTACGGATCGAAAGCTTTGCAGTAATAAATTAACGTGGTGTTTCCACAAACAAAAACAATTATATTTTATCGCCATGCAAACATTCAAAGAACTTAAATTCTCACTTTCTAGCCAATAGCGATCTTGGAATGAATGCGCGTCACAATGCATGCCAGATTGATGACATATAGGCACGACTACAGGAATTATTTTTAAAACGGTCCAGCACTCACTGTGCTGAACAAAACTCATCGGAAACTAGCGTTATTGATTCATTTGTCAGAAACCGTTTTATTGTTTCGGTAGCTATGATATTACAAAGTGATTTTTAGTGACGAAATGTCCAGCAACAAAAGCACATTTAATCTCGGGTACATTTAATCACTAATCGACCTGAATGCCAGCCATGCTATTACTTATAAATATTTCGTATATGTAAAAAATTGAAAATGTTCTTCGACCTTCAGTTTCTAAGGAAAATTTTCTTCAGGATAGAAAAAATATTAAAATACCAAGATTCCACAATTTCCAGATTAAATAACTATTTGCAAACCTGTAACAACTTGCCAATATGCTTGGGCAGTAGTTGACACATCACAAAATATTGGGAGGGTCGAAATTTTCAACATGTATGCCAAAGGGATTTTGGTGTCCGTTTAAGGCTCTAAGTAGTATGCGAATCTTTCAGAACATGGGTCCCGGGTTGTGCCATTTCACTGGCTTATAGATACTTTTTCTAAGATATAATCAATTAATCATGTCGATTAGCGTTGTTGTTTAATGTACAGTTCAAAAATTATCAGTAGAGCTGTAAAATAGATTGTATGAAATGCGTATGTTGTTGTGGCATCATACTGCATACGCGATTTGCGTCAATTAGTGAACATCAGTGCACATGCTCACACGTACTACTTTTTGCTGAGCAACGTGTGTTTGTAAATTCCCACTTTCTAGCCAATAGCTAGCCTGCTCGCAGCCTTAAAATTTGAATAGCGATCTTGAAACGGATACGCGTCGCAATACATTTGAGATCGATTACATATTGACAGGACTACAGGTGGTCTTAAATACAGTTCAACAGAAACTAGCGAGTCTTTCATATTTTGGGGATTCGTAAGGCCCAGCGAAAAAATGGCTATGTCAAAGGGTGTACGTTTGGGCACGATCACAATTGGATGTTCACTGTTGGTACTCACATTCCTCTCCATGATCTGTGGTATTGTCGCGATGAGCAAAATGAGTACTCCAATTGCTGTTAGTATCGGCTTATGGGGACTTTATGTAAGTATAACATTTCACAGTGTTTTCTCTTTAAACGTTTGCGTTTTTAAGTAACTAACCGATTAGCGCCAGTGAAGAAGATTGCATTTCCGTAGGACATGTTGTAGGACATTGACAGTTTTACGTCCTATTTTACAGTCTTGGAAATTTAAAGAAAAATAGTTGTATGTGTATGACGGTGTCTTCAAAATGGAATTCTTTAAGTTTTTTGAAAGGAAAATCGCTACCCATCGGTTTTAAAACACGACATTTCCTATAAATAATGTATACATACAGTCTAGAATTATATCATGTACATCAGTGCCAATTCTATACTATTTTTTAACTACTTGTAATAAATTGCTGTTTTACAAGCCCATGCATTGATCGTGCAAACCAGCTATATCTGAGAACGTTAGTTTGGATAAATATATAAAGTTTAAAATATTCTGAGCGCTATTCTGAGCATTATTTTATTGCTTGTGGTAAACATTTATTCTTTGTATATATTAAATTTAAATAACAGACAAACTATATTCATTTGCCATCATTGGCATCATCATTTCAGCCTTTATAAATGGTACGTACTGATACAAATTAAATGGGTGTACAAATGGAAAAATTTCCGACTGTAGTACAAGGTAACAGTAACTTAATGGAAATGAACTTTTAATATTCTCTATTATGCATGAGTCACGTTTACTCGACGTTATCAGGAATAAAATGACGACCAAAAATTATTACAATAGGAAATTATGATTACTTTCGTTCCAATTAAAACTTATTTCTGAAATATTGGATAGTTTGAGATCTTTTAAGATAGTCACAAGGACAAGGTAAACTATTCCAAGGCTAGTCACCGAATCAATGTGACTAAATGATTTTTTTCTTGAGATTAGTGTTTGGTTTAGGTGGAAAATAATTTTGCACCTGTCTCGTTTCGTAATTGTGTACGTCATCGGTTACATAGACCATAGTAAGACTTTATTTAAATGTGTTTATTACATCAACAAACGACGTTTGGGAGATAAATACTCCATCTTCAGGCAGGATCTGGCAGATAAGATTACAATTTGAATTTAAACTAACATGCGCATGCTGAAACGTTCAAGCAGGTTACAGCTTGCCACCATTATTCTCGCGTGCGAAATTGCGTAAGCGTATTTTACTCGTTTGAGCGCCGCCCCCGATTGAGCGCCGCATTTGAGATCGAATTTTTTTAAAGAGCGCCGTCCCCGAATGAGCGCCGCACTAAACAGTGTAAAAACTTTCCACCGTCAAAATGGGGACATTTAGTGGCAAAGACGTTTAAAACTTGTTTATTTTATTGTTAAAAGTTCTTCTTATAATTCACAAATAAAAGTTTTTTAAAGAGCGCCGCCCCCGATTGAACGCCGCCCCCGAATGAGCGCCGCATCTGAAGCTCTGAAAATTTAAAG